GCACCAGAGTACAGCAATTTGGACCTCACCGATGAGCTTTGGGTACCAGTGCCTCGGAAGATGAGACAACCTCCCACTTCATCTGGAGCCTACTCAGGGTTCCAGGCTTGAAGGAAGGGACATAAGATATGTTGCTTCTTTGTCATATTGTTCTTCCAGTTATGGGGCACAGCTGTTCGCTGTCAGGAAATAAACTACTTGTGTTTGACAGATACCTGTGTGGCATTCTTTGTGTTTTGAGAACCTTAGACTTACTCTTGTCGACTACAGAAGGTCTCCTTTTCTTGTGTTTTTAAAATCTGAGCAATGACAAAGAAGTTTCATAAGGTGCCTTTTAATATATTTAAGCTAGAACCAAGCAACTAGTGATTTGGGGATATCTCAATTTTTTGGGTCTCCAAATTCAGATATCTTAAAGGTGCCTGCTTTTCAGCCAGCAGTTTAAGCTGTCACAAATTGGGCATTCCAAATCACTAATTATGTTGAAAATCCAAACCAAGGTGATTAGTCGGATAAACATGTAACTTGATATCTGGAAAGTTCATTTAAAAACACATTTATTGAACTTTCTGTGGGTGACAATTGGCTTGTTCTTTTGGAGGGTTATTTAATCTCAATAAAGAGCATCCTTTGTCATAAACTTAACTAGGAAGGCGAAACATGCTACCACTGGCATTAGTGGCTCCATTATCCCATTATGGGCATGTCTACACAGCAGGGATAAAAGTGAAATAAGCTACACAACTTTAAGTCAAAACAGCTTATTTCAACTTCTGGCGCTGTCTACACAGTAGTTATTTTGAGATACAGTACTCTCCATCTGACTTCCCTTACTCCTTTGTACAATGAGGGTTACAGGAGTTGGAGTAAGCAGTCCTCAAGCTCAATATTATTTCAATGTTGTATCAAAATAACTGCTTGTATGTACACGCGGACTATGTTATTTTGGAATAACATCCGTTATTCTGAAATAACACTGCTGTGTAGACCTAGGCTATGCTAATTTGACCTGTGACACAGAAGAGTGTTGGGCTCATGCCCTTTTTTATTTCCTTATGTGATACAAAGGAGGGATGAAAGTTTTTTCCAGCTGCAGGGCAGAGAGAAGGGTATTTTTACTGAATTAGCAATATCTAGTCTTGTTTTGCCAATTTTTACTGGATGTCTCCTTGAATTTGATGGTTTCTTAACTCCTTAATTGAAGCCCAAAGGGGTTTAAACAACATCCTGCTTCCCCTTGGTTTTAGACATCACTCCCCTCTCAGTTAATGAAGCTTTGCTCTTTGGTTTTCTCCAGAATCTGCTTGGTTATTATTTCACAAAAACCAAAGCCTGAAAAGTAAAGACCTGCCTGAATTATTATTGTAAACACCAAACAGAAATACATGCTTAAAATGTTTCCTCTAACGATGACTCACACATCTCTCTGCACAGACAGCTTGCAGTTTTCACAGATTTAATGATTCATACCAATGACTTGTTTAAGTGTGGAAGTGACATATGATGTATTTCTTACAGAGAAATCTGGGGCATGTAGCTGGGGGTAACAAACTAAGTGGGAAAAGGACAATCTCTTGGTGTGACTGTAAGTAATCTGTGTTTGCAGAAGCAACCATATAATTGTGTCTTTGTCTGTCATGACCTTGCAACTGTGAAGAACGCTGCCTAGGCTGAATTTAGTTTGGTGACTTTACCCTATAAAAGTAATGTCTTCGTAGAATAACAGTACTTGATACAAGCTGCTGTCTGCGTTATTCAGGTATAAGTAATATTGTTAAAGAACAGGAGACTTCCATTTTTTTCTTTGAAAAAAGTAAGAGTTAGAGAATTCATAATTGCCCCATATCAGGGTTTTTTTTTTTTTTTTGGGTGGGAAAATCAGAAGACAAGCCCATCAGATTCCTACTCTCAAACCAGGAATAAGACTTTCTCATTTTCAGCTTCAATATACAGTGCCAGATTAAGGCATAGACCAGGCCTGGGTAAAATATGTCCGTGAGCCAGATGCAGCCCACCAACCACTGGATCTGACCTGTGGATGCAGTGGGGAGCCCAAGGTAGTCTCCCCTGTTTGCCCTGCAGCCCCGCACACCACTCAGAGAAGTGGCTGCAGGGCCCCTTCTCTTTAAAAACTGAGCCCAGGGCTCCTCCCCTAGGTCACAAAACAAATCTCTGCACCCCAGTCCCCTGCCCTAGGTCACAATGGCCTCCTTCACCCAAACTACCTCCCAGACCCCACTCCTCCCTGCACTCCAGTCCCTTATCCTAAGCTTCCTTCTTCACCCTACCTCCATCCCAGACCCCACTTTTCCTTCATTAATATCATGGAAGAGTGCGACCCCCAACCATTTTCCAAATTCTTGGAGTGGCCCCCCTCACAGTAAAAAATTATTGCCTACCTCTTCTATAGACCAACTAAGCTACAGTTTAGATCCTCTCAATGTAAGGGGTCTGTAAAAAAGAAAACACTGACTTCATTTCAAATGTTATCAAAATGAGTTGATTAAGAAAAGAGATACGGGGGAAAGAAGTTTCCCCCCCTTTCTAAATATTCATTTTCATTCAAATATGACACAAAATATACACACCTGGCTACATAAATATTCTTTCCCTTCACTAATCATTGGTAGGCAGGAGGCCAGAGTATTGAGAAAAATAATTGCACTTGTAAAATTAGTATTTCAATGAGTAAGTCTGCTATCTGCCTTCTAATGCAGTGTTTTGTTGGCTAGCTGCTACTAGTAAAATTCTAACTCTGCCACCTTAACTTATTTAAATAAATAAATAAATAAATAATCTCTCTGCTGATAAAATTGGGACCTATATGAGGTCAGAGGTATGGGTCTTCTCCTAGGAGTGATGTCATGTATAAAATCCCCTTAGCTGATAATATCCAGAAAGCTGCCATCTTTTATTTATGGTCCAGCACAGTCAGTCATATAAGTGATGGATGAATTTGTACCTGTTTTCCTAGCAGAGGGGAGTGATTGCCCATCGTAAATACATAATCACATTTTGATCCAAATCCAGCCTTCTCCACAGACCTCTTTATATAATCGGGCAAAATGACATGGGTTTATATCAAAGTATTAATGTTGAGTAGTAAATGTATCATAAAATGTCAGTCTGGACCAAATTGAAGATTAATTGCAGTCCTAGTCTACTTCAGATGGGAAGATTACATAAGCTTAGCCTGTTGCAGAGAAACATTTGTTTCAAGCTTAAACAAGTCTCTATCTTGTAAAATCAGATGCAAATATACATAATACTAAACTGATAGATTATATCTAATGTCACTTCATAGAAAATTTCAGAGGCAGCAGAAACAACTAATAAGAGCAGTGATTTGAAGATACACAGACCTAGTGGCAATGTGTGCATTTTGCAGCTGATGCAGGAGAAATAAATGTGTCCCAGACAATAAATGTAGTTTTCATTTCACATACACCCTCATGTGCAGTTAGGTTGTTATTTTTTAAATCAACTTTAACCAATTATACACAGACAGGACGCTCTGTAAAAGTAATTCAGGTAGGGTGACTGGGACTCAAGAGAACGGGTTGCTATCCTCAGCCTGCTGGGTGACCTTGGGCAAGTCACAGCAACTCTGTGACTCAGTTTCTCCAGCTGTAAAATGAGGATAGTGCTGTAATGTAATGGTCCAGCACAGTCAGTCATATAAGTGAGGATAGTGCTGTAATGTAACGTGCTTTGAGATTTGTGAATGGCTATACAGAAGTTCTATACCTAAGGTGACCAGATGTCCAGTTTTAAAGGGACAGTCCTATACTTAAGCTACCCTGCAGGGGTCCCTCCTTTTTTTTTAAATAAAATGGGCAAATTGTCCTGTATTTTTTGTCTTCCCCTCCCATCAGTACTGATGAGTCCTACGACTGGGTGGATCTTTCCTCCACCAGCCACTCATCTGGCGAGTGGGGGAAGTCCCCAGCAGAGCGTCTCTGCACTGTGCAGAGAACAAGCCTGGTTGGATCATTCAGCTTACCAACAGCATGGCTGGCAAGCTCCTTTCTTTCTTTCCACACTGCATCTGGCTGGGCTGACACCCAGGGGAGAGCTCAAGACTCTCTGGCCAGGAGGCACCTTGCATATGTTGCAGAGTAGAAGAAGAGGGTGGGAATACTGAGTTCCGGAAAAGGGCATCATGGACAATGTATGCAGTTATTCAGGTTCCATGCCCACATGGCTCAGACATATTATATTGAATAATTTCTCCTCACTGAAAACACAAACAAAAGATAAGAATGAAGGCTATCTAGTAATCAGTGCAATGAAAAGAGGAAATTTTAACTGAATCACCTCAGTGAGTGAAGCCTCTTGTAATATATATAGTATAATATATATGTAACCCCCAAGGAGATTACTTAGATTCCTGGGGCTCTGTCTGCTGGCAGCTCAGGGAGAGGCACTCTGAGTTTGCCTTGGCTCCCCCTCCCTACCAGGGACAGAGTCTGCCTGGCAACCCATAGGGAGTGAGATGCCCCTCCCAGGGAGTTCAGGAGGGGAAGGAGGAGCCATGGTGCGGGGGGGTCTGGAGCCAGCTAGGGCAAGGGGAGGGCTGACTGTGTGGGAGCTAGTAAGCCCCAGGCCTGCATGCAGGGTTCCCCCTGAGAACTAGCCTCTAGGGACCTGAAGGCAGGATCCCTCAGCTGGGTTTTATGTCTCCACTGTTGATTCCCAGTTTGTGGAGTTTGTTGGGAGGCTTCCCCAGCCAGGCTGAGTTGGCTCTCCCGCTCCCTGGGTGAGACCAGTCACTGCATGGTCAGCTTTGCTCTGTCTGCTGGTTCGGGGCTGCTGCCTGCTGTGTGTGTCTGAATGCTGGGCTAGGAGATTATAGTTTGAATTTTGGTGCAGTTGTGTGGCCTGCACCTTGAGCCTTGCACCCCTTTGTGGTGAGGGGAAATTCTGGGACCGAAGCAGCCTGATTCCTTCCTGAAGAGGATCCCTGCCAGAAGAGCCCAGCCCCTCTGCAGTGATGGAGTCATCTCTGAACCTGAGGCTCATTCATGGAGTGTGTGAGTGCACCATCTTTTAGTTAGTCAGGGAATTTGTTTGGTGATTTTATTACCTGCTGCATATTAAACCTGTGGAGGGCTTTACCACCTTCTCCCACTTGTGAGTCCTTTGGGCTGTACTGGACCCAGTCAGCCCCACTGCTAAACCACTGCAGAGACGAATTTTGTGGTCATAAGTCATCAAGGGCCCCAACAAAGTATGTCTACCAACAGGACACTGACCTTACAGTTGCTGGGCACCGGTGACCCTAAAAATAGTGTTTTACCCTGTTCTGTTATTTTTGTCTCCTGTTTAATATAATTGTGTTTATTATAGTGTATGTGTTTGTGTTATTTTCTGGGAGTCTCCAACTATCTGGCAAATAAAATAAATTAATGGAGATTGCCTATCTCCTAGAACTGGAAGGGACCTTGAAAGGTCATTGAGTGCAGTCCCCTGCCTTCACAGAAGGACCTAGTACCATCCCTGACAAATTTTCGCCCCATGTAAGGATTGAATTCACAACCCTGGGTTTAGCAGGCCAATGCTCAAATCACTGAGCTATCTCTCCCCCCTATAGAGGGACTCCCTCGGTTAGAATATTCCGCCCAAGCTGCCCTGGTGACCCTGCCAGGAAGGAGTGAGGGGGTGGAGGGGGGAGGGACTTTGAACCCCTCTTTGCACCCTTCCGCTGAGTGTGCTGTCCCTCAACCTAAACAGTTGGCTTATTCTGGACCACTAAATTCCTCTTATGATAACTTAAAGCAACATAAGGGTTTGGTTGCACCAGGAAAATGGGATGTACCTGGAACAGGAGTGCTTCTCATAAAACCATATAGCAAAGAGACAGAATCACCCAGTCTGGGACTGCCTCAGCCCTTAGCCTCCCACCAGCCAGACTGAAGCTCCCCCCCTTGATTCATATGGGAACATTGCTGGCTGTTTTCCTTCATCAGGGAGTGAGGAGGAAAGTGCACCATTTGCTGCATTCCTCAGTCTGGCTGTGTTTACACTACACCACTCTGTCGGCAAAGGGATGTAAATTAGACGTATCGAAAGTACAAATGAAGCCGGGATTTAAATATCACATGCTTCATTTGCATAATGGTGGCCGCTGCTTTTTTTCGAAACGGGGTTTTTGAAAAAAACCGGCAGTTTAGACGTAGCCTCTGACTGGGGATTACAGGGGACAGGTGAACTTGGATCTGCCCTGGCCAGGGGATATGAACCCCTCTCCCAATTCTCTCTGCTGGACCTACAGTGGCCATGGACAGGTGCTTCTCACCTGGCATGGAACTGCTATGAGGAGTTAGAGCTGGGGTAGTCCTCTCTCCCTGGGGGCAGCCTGTATATTGAACCCCTCATCCCAGCCCCAACCCAGAGCAATGATTTTAATGAATCACATACATATTCACTCAGCTGAAGCATGAACCTTAAACTAGTCATTTTTTCCTGGAAATATGAAACTAAACTTATTGTACAGAACCACTTTGTAGGTGTTATCTACTGTGTGTTTAGTTTGAAAGACATCTTTCTCCCCATATAACATCTTTGAGATAAAAATATAATTTAAGTGTTATGTTTTGCTGTACACAAAGAGGAACTGCATATTTTAAATATATAGATATATTTTATTTTAGATTACGAACAAGAAAAATAATGAATAATCTCCAGGTGAGAAGTGAGTAAGTACCTCATTTGCAAAAGTTTCAGCAAGTAAATCAGTACAAAATGGCTGCTGACACTGCAGAGTTTTCAGAAATGTAAAACTGGAGTGCACAGAAAGCAATGGCAGGATATTTCTGGCTAAGGATATGCAATGTTTTTTGTGTTAAATTGCACAATAAAGTTATTGCTATAAAATGAAAGTGGCTATTAGTGGAGGACATTTGCTCATGTGGATTTTGTGCACAGGTGTATTTGTTGAATCGAGGTAGGTGTCAGATAAAAGTCAGGGCAAATATTTACAAATGACGTAGAACATTAAAAAAAATCTATTTACATTCTGAAATAACAATGGCTGAATTGCAAAGAAAAGAAACACGGCTAACATAAATTATATTTTCTATTTGTCTTTCTCCATAATAATTCTGCATTGGATACAAGTCTGTGTGGTTGGATGAACGACGAGAGGGGACGGCGTAGAAAACAATCAGTATGAAGCCCAAAGGTACTGCTTAGTGTTGTTTAATAGTCAGCTAATTCCTTTGACATTAACCTGATTTTGGGCTGGTTACATGAAGAGGTGCTGGAACCAGTGGTGTGGCAGCACCTCTGTCTTGAACTGATTTCCATCATGTACAGGGTTTACAAATATGTTCAATGGATTTCAGCAACGCTATTGTACAAATTATTCCAGCACCACTGTTTATACAGATGAAGGTCATCTTTTATTTATAAAAGAATATTATTTTGATTTCATAAAAGGCTCAGAAACAACTTATTTCAGAATGGGAGTTGCTCTCTCAGGCTGATGTGTTATTTTTCTGTTTAAATGTGTCTGTCTCTTCTACAGTATCTCTCTAACTCTTATTAGACAAAAAGCATCGAGACTATCAAAATGGATCTATACAAATAGCCCCAGTTCCTCCTCATTTAACTGATGCTATCTCCCTGAGCAGGCTGTCACATTGCCTTTTGGCACTAACTACAGTTCATAAATTTAGATTGTCCAGGCAGTTCAGTGCAATATGCAGTTAAAAGAAGCCTAAAGGCAGAAGAGCTGGTATACTGCAGTTATGTTTGAGATACACTTACAAGCTAATAGATATATAGGAACCATTGCACATAACTAATTAGTATACCCGACTCTAGCTAGCACGATTAATCCCTCAGTTCTGTGTTGGATCAAATTCCCAAAACTGCAAAAATGATACATGTTAAATACCTGCTGTATGGCAGGAAAATATAGCTCCTAGCAGTAATGTATTTAAAGGGGGAAGAATAAGACTGGAAAAGGAAAACTGAAAAGAAGAGAGAGAAGTCAGTATTTCTGTCATATTCAATTCTTAGATATCACTCACTTCGATTGCAGTAATGTCTAGTCAGTGTAATCCTTCCTTCCACGAACAGGAATTTCTCTGAATGCTAATCTGGTTTGAGCGGGGGTTATATATCACTGTATGAATATTCAGACCACTCCCAGTACTTCCAACTGTGCAATCATGAGCTTCTTTACACATGCTCACATATGGAACACATTTAAAGAGTAGCAGACACAGATCATTTCCTCAGCTAAAGATATCACATACATAATAGTCCAACAGAATTCATGGTTGAGAGCTGTCAGCCTTTTCATTTAAAGTTTAACTGTAGGAAATATAAAAAACTAGGTCAGAGTGCAACAAAGATCGCAATAAAACCATATCTTATTGCTGTAAAAAGTTTAGAAGCCATGAATATTCTGTCTCACATTATCTGCAAATTAGGCAAATCCCTCCAGTATCTTCTCTAATTATGCAATGATTCGTTATATTACTGCAGCCATATTAGAAGCAGGGGTGGGCACTGAAAAGAAATAAAAATTAATAAATACAATTCAAAAGTTTTATAAGCCACCATGAAGTGCTTTTGGTACATTTCTCTTATACCAGTGCAATAAAAGTCTAAGAAAACGTTCATAAATCTGCACCACTTCAATCTGACTAATTGCTTCTGAATTTTATGCATGCACAGAAGCATAAAACAGATGTTTTTACTTATTGGAAGTGGATGGCCAGGCTGATTTAGACATATAAACACTAGCTCAGACTTAATTTTAACCTAACATTTTTCACCTATGATAGTTTATTTACTAGTGACCATTAGGAGACTTCCACCCACTTAAGTTTAACTTGCATTCTGTTGCAATTCAGGTAGATCAAACTATATGTACAAAGAATTGGTCGTCTTCTGTTAAAATGTCCCAGAGTTTAGATCATTAGGGACGGAAGGGAGGGGGTAAATGCAGCTGTCTCTCAAGGCTAGCTCCTCAGCTGACATTAACTAGCATTAATCATTTGAGTCAGTGGAGTCACAATAATTTATACTGGCTGAGAATCTGATCCCTTTCACTTGCCATAGGCTTGTGCCTTAGAGAAGCCATTTCAGGCTCACTGTGTCTTACTTTGTAACTTGGGTGTACTAACAATACCTTACCGGGGAGGGAGGCGAAGGAGGGTGCTGCTTTGTTTATAAAAATTGCTTTCTGATCCTTGGATTACAAGAATGTCAAATAATTTTAAATGCTAATTATTATTTATTACTATTTATTGTGATGATGATAGAGCAAGAAATAGAATCTTCTCCACTGGTCCCCTACAGCATAGTTTAGTATTCACCAGGAATTGCACCGAGCTGCTATCAGCATTGCTCCTCCTCCTGTTACCATGAACAGTATGTGCTGAAAGTTCTTGTTCATTTTTCTGGCAACTTAATCTTTAAATAGCTTGTTCAACAGAAGATTAAAAGGAAGGGATAGTCTGGTATTGTTTACTGTATATTTGTGTTTCTCAAGTTGAAAGGGACTGCTGATGTTGGCCAAAATTTCAGCAGCATGTTTGGAAGGACATTCCTCTAGCTCTATTTTGCCTCCAGAGGGCAGATAAGGCCTTGTCAGCACAGTAGCTTGCTGCGGTTTAGGTAAAAGGATGCAACCCCACTTATTCCAGTTCTCATTATTTTATCTTAAACCTGTTCCTGATCATCTTAACAAAAATAAGCCACATTCTCCACCAAGCTGCCTTAGGTGTATCTCCATTATGTAAGCAGTATAGTAATCCAATCTGAGGTGAATTGTTCAGTTCAAAGTCCTCCAACCCTGACCATTGTAGTTATATTGGGTCTAAAAATTGTTGCTTTTGAGCCATTATTTACAGTTCCTGTGCACACCACAGTTTCTATCACACATTCAGAGCCCAGGTTTCCATTATTGTTATCTGCCCAAATCTAAGCAAAATCTCACGGCTACCCCCTGCGCCACCAGTTTGGTGTCAGCCTATTTTTACTTCTTCAATTTGGTGTCAGCCTATTTTCTCAAACTGGATGAGGAATGATCTTTGTGTACTTGTGCGGCTCTGTCCTTGTTGGCCTTGAAATTATAACCCCTCTTTTTGTGACCAGTCTTTTCACATACCACCAGCCAGGTGAACTGATTCCCCTATCTTCTACATTTTTGCAAACCAGTTTGATTTTTACTAAAGAAATGTGACTATTTTATAGCACTTTCAAGATACCATTAATTGAATTAGAACCTCTTGTCTCTGATTTCTATTAGCAGAGCTCATTTGGAACATAATACAACAGAGCCACCAGGTGATATCTGCGGTAAGAAAAGGCATAAAACCTACGACAGCCAGAGGTTGAGGCCTAATTAATATATGTAAATGTTGATCAGCTTTCTTCACGGGGACAGAGGACAAGACTAACCAGGGCACCTTCATGAAGGATGTGCTAATTCTTATGGCAAGCAGCACTGATCATCTGCCACGTTGGTGATGAACGCTATAGAAATTATTCTAATGTCTGCACTACCTCTCTTCCCTCCTCACTGTCACTATTACAACCTCTTACAGGAAAGAGGAGCTTGATACAGTCAGGCTTCACTGTGAAGGGCTTCTCTACACAAAGTTTTTGCCAGTTGCATAATAAACCTTAATTTTGGCATTTCTTAATTTCTGAATGCTTGACTTGACAACTTTCTGTAGCTGAGTAACCAAACATACAGGCTACGTCTAGACTGGCATGATTTTCGGGAAATGCTTTTAAGGAAAAGTTTTCTGTTAAAAGCATTTTCGGAAAAGAGCGTCTAGATTGGCACAGACGCTTTTCCGCAAAAGCACTTTTTGCGGAAAATCATCCGTGGCCAATCTAGACGCGATTTTGTGCAAAAAAGCCCCGATCGCCATTTTTGCGATCGGGGCTTTTTTGCGCAAAACAAATCTCAGCTGTCTACACTGGCCCTTTTGCGCAAAAGGAAGTTTTGCGCAAAAGGAAGTTTTGCCCAAACGGGAGCAGCATAGTATTTCTGCAAAAAGCACTGATTTCTAACAGTAGGACGTCAGTGCTTTTGCGGAAATTCAAGCGGCCAGTGTAGACAGCTGGCAAGGTTTCCGGAAAAGCGGCTGATTTTCCGGAAAAACTGGCCAGTCTAGACACAGTCACAGTGATCTAACTTCAGGCTGGGTGACAGTTTTCAGCCAAAACTTTGGTTTTTTTATACAAAAAATACAGATTAGGGTCAAATAATGGTATTTTGTTAATTTGTATTATTTTTGTATTATTTAAGCAACTTGTGATGATCAACAGAAAAAAAGTAAAATTGGAAATGTCCAAACAGTTCCTGCAGAACTGTCCAAAATAAAATATTTGGAAATTTTGGGGATAGATTTGGGTGCCATTCAGAGAACCAAGGAGCTAGAGTATCTCTGGTAACCTCTGGCCCTGTGGTTTGGATGCTCACCCAGGATGTGGGAAATCCAGCTCTGGAGCAGGGACTTTGAACCCCTCTTTGCACCCTTCCGCTGAGTGTGCTGTCCCTCAACCTAAACAGTTGGCTTATTCTGGACCCTTAGCCCATTCTGGACCCTCAGCCTGGATCCTAAGCCTATTCTGGACCAGATCTCTCCCATTCAAGCTGTCTACTTTGTATAAATAATTAAATAATCAATATTTATTGGACCAGAGAAAGGACACTCTAGCCTGGTGGTTAGTTCACGTATTGCAGAGTAGCCAGGAACTCATTGTTTCCAGTCCCATTCATTTACATCTGGGCATATTTATTTATACCAAGTGGAACAAATTCAACAGGAAAGATTGAGAGAGCTTTTCTCCAGAATATCCTATTGTCTGGGAGTCAGGCTGTGTCATACAACTGGAGAGAAAAGGAAGGGGTTAATGTCCCTATTCCAAAGCAGGGATTTTAACATGGGTCTTTCATGTCCCAGATGAGTGCCCAAATCATGTGGCCAAATGCTGGAAGGGGACCACTGCCACCTCAGTTTTGTGAATCTGGCCTTTCATTTCCTTTAGGTTTGTTAAAACACACAAAACAACGTTTAATTTTATCTCCTAAAGACTTGTCTCCAACTTCTTTTGTGAGGCAGTATCTTTAATTGGACAGCTGCTGTTGGTGAGAGATGCAAACGTTTGAATCCCACATAGCTCTTCTTTATCAGACCAGGTACTCCCAGTGTCGCAGCATTGTGTAAGGGACCATTTAAGTTAAAGTTGCCCATTAAAACCTCTGCAAAGTTAGGACAAAAATCAGGGAATTGCGGGTTACAGATTATTGTAATAAATCGTATGTCCCGAGTCTCTATTCAGTCCATTCTTTTAGTGTCGAGTAGAGTAGTGAATTTAAGCTTCCTTGCTCATCTTTTGAAAGCATCGTATACATTTTATTTTGAGGATGAGAACTTGATAAATCAGATATAGAATGATCATTTTGTTCATCCAGTCTATATTGACTTCACCTATGTTTTAGTCCAGAGGGCAGGGTGGGGAGAACTCCAGGGCACCAGCCACATGCAATTATTTATACAAAGTAGACAGCTGGATTTCCCACATCCTGGGTGAGCATCGAAACCACAGGGCCAGAGGTTACTAGGGATACTCTATCTCCTTGGTTCTCCCAGACTGTGGGAGCTGCAGGAAGTTGAGTGAGCCATCTATTTTTGGGATAGATTTGGGTGCCACTTCCCAGAGCTCCCATTGGCTGACAACAGTGAACCACAGCCACGTGGGGCTCTGTGCCTGCTGCTTCTCTGATTAACAAACTGGTGGCCCGCCAGCACCTAACCCTGACCAGCCATGTGCGGTTGGCATGTCGGAGGTTCTCTGCATCCGTTTTAGTGTATATAATCATGTTCATGCTTCAAGAACCTATCAATACCTTGCACAGGAGACCTGCAAAAGTAGAACATTCTCCTCCACATACACCATTTTGAAATACCAGTGGATTAATGGAGAGCTTCATGATGCAGTCTTACAAGTACAGTAATACTCCCATTAACTTCATTGGGATTATTTGGACGAATAAACATTGCACAGGATACTAAGGGTTTTCTTCAGGATCATGAAGTAGATTCATCATTCTGAAGAAAAAAAAATCCCTTTCCCTGATAGATTCTGATCAGGTCCAGTCCAAGTGATAGCTGCTTAATTTATTTGAGGACAATAAAGCAACTATACTAGATTCCTGAAACTGGAATGATTTATACCACTAAGTTTAAAACGATGCATTTGGTAATGCAATGAACTGATTTAGGCTTAGCTTCCTTTGATAATGATTTCCTACAGTTTTAAGCTCTTTATATATTTTCCCATTTCAGCTTACAACAGCTGTTTATAGCATGAAAAAGAGCACTAAACTGCCTAGTTCTATGGAATAGTAAAGCTGAGACTGTGTTTTACAATCGGTTGCAAGAGGTGCTTTGTGTAAGGGAACTTCTACTTGTCCCAGTTGATAAAACAAGAGCTGGCAGTCTATTTTTTTTTTCCCCTAAAAAAAGTCATGGAGTTAGTCTAGTAAAGAGAACATCCATCCAAATGGAAATCCATCCAAATCACTCTAATGGCAGGGCTATAACAAAGGTCTTTAATGATAAGAGGTCTTTTCTAATGATCCTGTTTCTCAATTTACAATTTCAACCTATTGCAATGGTACTGCTTTTACCTCTGCAGCTTGTCTTTCGGATACAGAATGATGCCCAGGTTCCTTGTGGTGCAATGGGAGAAATAATCAGCGCAGGCTGAAACTCACATTAATGCAGCAGCTTGGGCACTGTTAGAGAGCGACTTACTTGGAGATGATGTCACTCCCATCACAGTATCAGCTAAATGCCATCTCTGAGACTGCATGTGAAGGATGTTATTAAGGGAGATGAGGACATTAATTAAATGACATTCTTTCTTGATGAATTCCCGGGTTCTTCTCTTTATTTGAAAGCCCTAGATAAATCCAGAGGAAGTCAGATGGATTAAAATTAAATCCAAGATTTAGTTTGGCAGATGTCTATTTCAGAGGGCTCGTGGGCTATTATTGGATCAGTAAATCATGCTACAGTTCTACCGCCCTTTTATTTTGTTATTCTGTGAAAATTACTGAATCATCACCCAGTCCCCTTTCTAGCCCCACTCCACCACACTCTGCTCTGCTCCTCATCCCAATACTAGTAGTTAAGCAAGGACATACCCTAGCACACTTTCTTGTGGTACTTGATCTCTGTTAGCAAACAGGTTGCTTACCATGAGGATTCAATGCTTAGGATCCCAAAAGCTGCAATTGACACAACTGGCGTATTCAAAGGTAGGAGTTAATACACATTTCCGTTATCATCCCCCAGCTCATCTGCCCCTGCTGCAAGTAAGAGTAGTCCTAGGGGCAGTTACGTTGGCAAGGATTCCCAGAGTCCCTTCAGAGCTGTGCAAGCCCTCGACCCTCTCCCACCCTCTGCAATTGGCGCTCCAGGGGCCAACACATTTGGGGATTTTCCTGTGAAAGGGGAATCCCTAGATGACCCTTTAGCACATTTTTGAATCACCTTTGTGCTGTCAAGATGTCACAAAGGGCATTTAGCATGGGGCAGAATAGGCCTTTAAA